TGTCTAATCCCCCTTGAGATCTGTGGTGTTAAAAATAACTCGAGACGAATTACCTATGGAGTAGGGTTTGTATGGAGGATGCCTTCTCTGTTCCCTTTATCCTCTCTTGACAGAAACAGAATGAAGCCTATGGAGAAATTTGCGTACAAATCCCCACAAAGTTTCCACTGTAAAACTAAATCATAGAATGTGTTTTTTATTAGGATTTTTTGTAGGACAACAGTGAGTGCCCGGCCTGATAAGACTACTCTAGAACACACACTGCGAGAAAAAAGAGTTCATAATACTGATAATATGAAAAAGAACATGAAGAGGTCTTAATTTGATTGCAAGTAGAGTAAATTTAGACTGAGTAGCATTGTATTTTTGTCGTCAGAGGCTTAAGTGTGGTGTTGCACAAACTACAGTCAGTTCTCAGGTGGAAACTATTGGGACTGGGACAAAATGTCTGTATTAAAATAATGGAGAGTATAGAGAGTAAAAGAAAATGACTAAGAATAGTAGGGGCCAACTCGATTTTCTGGAGGTGCCTTATCTTTTGATTGTACTGCTGTATAATATTTCTAGCATTATATCCTCTCTCTCTCTCTCTCTCTCTCTCTCTCTCTCTCTCTCTCTCTCTCTCTTTATATTATCATGATNTCTCTCTCTCTCTCTTAATATTATCATGATATTGTAGTTACAAGGAAACAGGAAAATATTTTTGGAATCAAGTTTGATTAAACCTGGCTGCAGTTAATAAATTTAACCAAGAATAAAATTGAATCATACTGGACATGAAGTATACAAGTGTGCTAGGGTTGCTGGTAACACTAACAAGGTTTGTTTTTCAATGGTTTAATAGCTGCTACAGGTCATTTCTATTTCATTTGTGCATAATTCTGTATAATTTTCTTGTTTGCAATTTGTATGTTATATACATGTTTTATGTGAGGGTCTCAATTGGGTTAACCGATAAGCGTAAAACGGCCAAAAATTTAGTCGATAGCCGTAAAAATTGAAAAATTTTAACCGTTAGCCGTAAACAGGGTGAAAAGAGTTAACCGTAAAATAGCATTTGTTTCCTAGCTAGATTTGTTAATTTTAAGGAAAGTGCTAAACTCACCTATGACCGGTTACGTTTCTTTTTTTTTTTTTAAAATGAACTGTTATGTCTGTTATCAGGAATGATCCTTTTCATCCCTTACATAATAATGTAATAATAACGAGGGTGACGTTGCGATTTTCGGTTTTGGCCGTTTTTAGGTCGGTTTTTCGGTTTTGTAACTGAAAAACTTCGGTTTTTAAGTTTCGTTGCCCGTTGCGGTTTTCGGTTTTTCGTTTTTTTTTTTAGCAAAAATAAAGCAGTTTAGATTCCTCTCTGGGTCTCTGCGCAGTCTGGATGTTAGGCGATTTTACATGTTTCTATTTTTACGTGAGTGAGCGAAAACCGGCGGGAAGGGAGAAGGGGAGAGCCTGTAAGCATCTTCTTAAATACCTCAATCCGCCCACTACCCCACCCACCTCGCCTAAACATGATTTGCAAGGGCGGATTCGCGCGAGTTCGCCGACTAAAATGCTTTCCAAGGTGGCGTTCTAGATTCCATATCTAGGCCATCTTTCAAAGACCGACGGCTTTGAAGGAATTATACGACATGTCCCTTGATGTCTTGGGACGAAGGTTGCTAGAGTTTCTTTGTTTACAGCAAAATTCGTTGTATCGCGCGGTGCGTTTTGCAAACTCTGAAGGGATTTAGGGTTTCCAAATCACAACGTAATTTGCCGCAAAAACAAAACTGAGAATACCTCTTGACTGTTCAAAATAGCAAGGGAAATTGCGATGGTATTTTTGTCAAGGGAAGGAGGTAGACTTTGACTGTTACAAGTTAGGCCGAGGAAGACATTTGCAGGGCTGTCAACTTTCCACGTCATCAAATATTGAGAATTGATAGGGGAGAGATGATAGATGACGTCATATCGCACAACAAATGACCTCATTTGTGCCAAAAATGGTCGCTAATTCCGATCGACGTATATAGCTCATAAACAGTTCATATTTAGCACATTATCGCTTAAATTACAGTCGCATACCAGAATTTATGGGGAAACGTTTCATGTTACAGTAGCTCAAACAACGCAAAATATTTGAAAATTCATGGCCGGAAAGTCGAGTCTACAAGAAATAGCAACTTTGGCGCTTATCCGGGAGATATCAGACTCTAATCTGGAGACCTGGAGATACAGTCCAAAATCTGGAGTCTCTCGGATTATCCGGGAGAGTTGACAGCACTGCATTTCGTAAGAAAGATCAGAACCGCAGCAGACAAGTCGATAATTGCCCGAAACAGGACGCTCATAGGTAACGAATCTTGAAATTAAAACCGATCGAAATCGACCAATCACAAATTACAAACCATGACCTTTTGAACTCTTTGAAATGAACATCTGTTGCCTAAGTGGTCCACTAAGATGATTGACTGAACAGAAAACCTAAAATTCCTTCGAAGTTTGCAAAACGCGATGCAAATAATTTGCCCGTAATATTGTACGATACAATGAACTAGTTGCCTACACAGACAGGGAATCTCTTGTCTCAGCCGATGTTTTTGGTTTCCTCGCTTTCGGTCTTGTGCGAAACTAAAAAACGTTTGTCTGTCTGGAGAACTAATGCCGGTCACTGTTGGAGCAAGAGTTAATAAATCATATTTTATGGCTGGGAGTTCAAGCTACGTGTAAACAAGAATAACTCAGCTGAATAAATAACTGAGCTGCGTGCGAGATGATTTCAATCCATTTAATATAATTCAATGAAAACGTGAAACCAAAAGCCGTGGCTAACCATATGAATAGTCAAACGTACCACTGTCACAGAGTGACTTCATCTAGCCACTGCAGCCGTCTGGTGGCCCAATTTTCTCTCTTCATCCTTGATTTGGAAAGCCAAGTCAGAAAACAATTTCGCATTCTCCATTTATAACTTTTTCCTTGTCCTCGTTCGATTCGTTACTAAACAAAGTAACGCAGTAACGAGTAAATGAATCCTAATGAAAGAAAAAAAATAAAAATGGTTGTAATATCCTAATAATGACCTTTACCAATCTCGAAAAATATGTGTATTCCAAAAAGTGCTTAAAACAACGACGTTAACTCCCCCCCTCCCCCCCACCCCTCCCTCCAGCAAAGTCGAAGGTATAAGTCACCTGGCTACGGCTGTTATATAATAGGGACCAATGAAATAAGAAGTTTGGATGGGTATAGGTCAATCGCTTTTCTCGAAGCCACGAGGAGACCGAGGAGCAATTATTTTATTGATCAGTTATGAGAAAACCTCAATTTCTCCATACATTTTCTGTAATTTTGATACTGTCGAATTACAGGAAATGTATGGGAAAATCAAGGTTTTCTAAAAACTGATCACGGACTTCTTTGCACTCCAGATTTAGTGCATTGTTTCTCTGAACTCGTAAGTTACTCTTTTCAAAGAGAAAGCATCGAATATATGAATTCGGGAAGAAATAGCGGGCTTTGAATTCTAATACAAATCTTCGAATTTCCCGCCATCTTGCCCTGATTACCCATGATGCAACTTTGAGTGTGGACTCCTCTATTGGTGTGTTATATGAAACGCCTGAGCTAACACAACAACAACTAATAGTATTTTGAAATCGAACCACTCGCGGCTGATCTGCTCGCGATGTTTTTTTATTCAGCGCGGGCGAAGCCAAGTGAATGACGTAAGTGTTGAAGTAAACTGTCAAAAATAAACCAATCAGAGGGTATACTAGGAACTGGTATACCGGAATGAGGTATTTAAAATATTGCTTACGTGCCTCTCCTCACTCTCTCTTCCCAGCTCTCACGCGGTTTTTCGCACTTTTTTTCGATCCGTTTTCCCCACTATCCTGGAGCCTGAAACTGGTTAGGTTTACAGCTATAGAAGAGCTTTTTGCGAACGCAAAATTTCCCCCATTGTCCTCTATTGCTATTCGATCAGGATCATTGTGAATTCTCCTAGACAATCCTAGGGCAGATATGCCGGTTTTACAACCATACCATCCATAGATAGTGCTGATACTGTGATGATATTAAAATCTTGATGATGTGATATTGTTTAGACAGCAAACTTGGAGAACAGCTCCCCAAGTCTACCGACAGACGGCCGACAGATTTTTGGGGGAACTGTTCTTCAAATTTACCGTTTGGTCCCTATGTTCCACATATCATTAACGTTTGACATCTAGACTAGGGTTTTGAAAATTGAACTGTATAAATCTTCGGTTGTGATGGTTTTGCATTCGGTTTTCGGTTGTGATCGATCTATCGCGGTTTTTCGGTTTAGGATAATTTTTAGAGCGGTTTTTCGGTTTTTTGTAGACCCCAACGCCCCTCTCCTTGACTGACAATAGCTTAAACTTTTTTCATTTGATTTTATAAACAAAGAGCGCATATCATTTTAAGAGAATGGGAAAACTCTTATATTCAAAGATCTTCAAAGCGATACTCCTCAGCTTGGCTCAGGCACTTGTAAATGTGAGAGTCACACAGAAATGTTCTTAATTCGAGTTCTCAATCTATTTGCTTGTCCTTTTTCAGTTCATGTTGTACCTGTAGTCTGTTCTTCATCAGTGGGGTAAAAACCCTATCGTGGTACGTATACTGAGTGAAAAGAGGAGAGGGTGCATGGCAAAAAATCAACGACAACAACGAATCAGTAGCACCAAAGAAAAGGAATCAAGCCAAGATGCAAAAAAAGACAAACAGCTTGATCTTCTTTTTCGTAGTTAACATTTCTATGCCTAAAGTAATATTAAAAGTAGAAGACAGTCGAACCTCCCGTAAGATACCACCCAAAATGCAAAGACTTAGTGGTCGCTTACGGCCTTACGGAAGGAACCACAGAGGATCCCTTCAGAGCAAAGGTCCGGGCACATCTACTTTAGGGAAGATAATTTATTGAATGCAATTATTTCTAAGTGACGCCATGTGTTGTTCCATGTTGTTACTAAAGTTCTTCGTATATTCTAATAAGTAGCATAGTGCACACAGGGAACACAGAGATCAGAGAATGTGTCATCAGCCTTCCTTGATGACTCTAGTTCCCACACATTGACAGTTTGGATGGTGGCATCACCCAGCTTGACAGTTACCTGAAGACTAAGAAAAGTTTTTAAAAAAATTATTAAAAGCTTGTTTGCATATTATTTTTAATGTGTTCATTTAATATTTACAGATGTGGGAGTCATCAGTAAAATAAAAAAAAGGCATTGAGGATAAGTCTCTTTTCCAAAAAGTAGCTACAGCATATAAAAAGAAAATGATTGTGACAAGATAAATGTTTGTTCGACAAGTATAGACAGCAACACAAAGCATCGGTAAATGACCATAACAGATTGACAGGATTCAGACTGGCAATATGGGACCTCCCTAATACAGTAATAGGGGTCTCATTATTTATCATACCTTTCCCCCCACTGATACTTGGCCCGTAATTCAGTTTCCCAGGGCAAATTTAATCTTAAAGAACTTTGCATGGAGATGCCATGTCAGGAAGGAAACCAAAAGAAACATCTGCTTCTTAGTTTTGCTATGAAATTGGAAGTCATAACCATTTAAGTGACACTTTTATTAATACAGTGACTTTCCAGATAGCAAAATCCCCCAATCAGTTTTCAACTGTTAAATCAGTTTTCCAAGTTTATACTCAGGAGGCTGAATAACAAAGTAATCTAACTATAAGCTCAAGTCTAGGGTTAGTCTAGTACCATACTTTTTAGTTCCAACAGAAGTATTGATTTGTAAAATCATAAACTTAAGATTTGCTTTCAGGGGCTTCACATCACATCGTTTTTTTTTAAATTCTCTAAACTAGCACTAAAGGACGTAGGTGGAAATATGTAAGGACAATATAGATGTTAACCTTAAAAACAAAACAAAGACTTACCGTTTTTCAAATGGGATCGCACAAGCAAACTGTGACATCTTTTCCTGCTAAATAAACTGTCTCCAGCCATAAGCTTCTTTAAATTGGGACTCTAGGAATGTTACAACAATATTAAAACGAGTCACGCGTAAAAGTACGAGGTGATCGGAAAGAGATCAAAACTAGAAACCAAGAAATGAGCTTCAACTTACCTTATGACTGGCAAGACTGCGAGGAACCAACAGTTCCTCGATCGACGTCTTTCTTACTTCGCAGGCACTAGTAATTTCTCGGTCCCAATCGGAATTCCACTGAGGAAACGTAACAACCACGGAATCACCTCTGTTTTCAGTAATCCGCGCACTTGCCCATACGCCAAATTCATCGACGGCTTCGACGATTTCGCCAACAGTAAAATTCATAACGATGAATTCTCGCTAACTCTCGGCACTGCGTAACAGATCTGAGATGGCTTTGCAGGTTTGTATCATAAATTCATATGTTCTGCATTATATAAGCTTTGCTTACATCATGCATCACATTCAAACTTTAAGTAGTCTCAAGGGAATGTTGACAAGGCAAAAGCGTTTCGAATACTTAGTCAAAGCAATTAAAACAAGAGGGAAATAAAAAGACACTTTGCGGCACAAGCGGGTTTAAAAAACTTAATTCTACCTCGCATTTGCATACAACCGGAGGTCACGTGAGATAGCAAGTATGCGATATCCGAGCTCAGTGCAAGTTTGGTGTCCGAGCTAGTCAGTTGTGTAACTTATAGAGAGAGGGTCTTTAAGGATTTTTACTGCGTTTCCGACGTTCTTCTGACCGACCTCTCCTGATGTCGCAGATAGGCGAACACGAGGCGCTCAACGACGACCCGCTATCGGATGAAGTTCTGGACGAAGGAGAATTACTCAAAGACTCTGGAGAAGATAAAAATATGGCGGCCGAGCCTGGCACAAGCGGCGCGAACGTTTCGCTGTCCGCTGCCGACTTTAAGAGTCTTTCCCTGGCAATATTAAATGTGTCAAAAAGACTCGACAAATTGGAGGAAAAGCCTTCTACGACGGGTAAAGGCCCTGGCAAACGACCGAGCCAGGAACATCAAAATGCCGTTCCCGCCAAAAAGCCCGCCAAAGAATGCTCGAGCTCCTCGAGCGAGCAAAATACCTCGGATAACGAGGCTGTTCAAACACTCATGGCTAATTTTGCCGGCGATGTTGACGATCTCGGTAACGGCGACGAAGATGAAACGCTTACAGAACTACAGAAAGAGTACGAGTCTGAAGACTCTATCGGGAAGAACATTCAAAACCCACAATTTGCCAAGCTCCTTGGCAAGATGTTTCGCAATCGTTTGCCAGACAAAGTCCTTAAAGAGAAGCTCGAGCGACAAGCTCGACCGGAAAACTGTGAAACTGTAAAACCCACACGTGTCAACCCGGGTATTTGGCGAAAACTTCGTGAGCACACGCAAAAGAGGGACTTACAACTGTACAAGATGCAGCAAGCCCTCGTTAAGGGTATAATCCCGGTCGCCCGGTTGACAGACCTGACCATGTCAGAAAAGCATGGGTTAGACAAAGAGGGCATGCAGCTGATCAAGAAATTTGGGCTTGATGCCCTGTCACTACTAACGCATGTAAACTATGAACTAAACATGCAGCGAAAACAGCTCATGAAACCTGACATTGGCAAAGACTACGCCGCCCTTTGCTCACCTCATGTACCATTCACAGACCTGCTTTTTGGTGACGACCTCCAAAAGCAGTTGAAGGACATAGGTGATGTAAACAAGATTGGTGCAAAGGTTCAAAACCATAGAGGATCTCAGAGGAATCCTTCTGGTTACAGCAGCAGCAATACAAACAGACACACTTTTTCTCAACGGAATCCAAAAAACTCCAAAGGCCAAACATTCAGACCTTGGCGTCACAAGGAGACTCCAAAGATGAACCCAAACAAGAGGTCATCACAGTAGCTCATGGTCTTAACACGGTAAATTCTGCTGTACAAAATTTTGTTGCTGGTAACATAGCTCATCACTTTTCTGAGTGGAGGTCTATTACCTCAGACCCAAGCATCCTTGAGATTGTATCGGGCTATCTTATCGATTTTGAACGGTTACCATACCAAACATATGTGCCCTATATAAAATTTTCTAAAGGTGATGAACACATTATTGCAGTAGAGGTTCAAAAACTTCTTGATAAAGGTGTTTTGAGCAAGACAACACACTGCAATGGAGAATTCATCTCTTCGGTCTTTACAAGACCAAAGAAAGATGGGTCTCATAGACTCATCCTGAACCTCAAAAATCTTAATGAGTTTGTTACTTACCAGCATTTTAAAATGGAATCCCTCCAATCAGCTGCCCAACTACTTAAAAAGGACTATTGGATGGCAGTTCTAGACCTCAAGGATGCTTATTACTCTGTACCAATAAATCTCCAGCACAGAAAATACCTAAGGTTTGAATTTAATGGAACCCTTTACGAGTTTACTTGCTTGCCAAATGGCCTGGCCTCGGCCCCTAGGGTCTTCACCAAGCTTATGAAACCAGTCTATGCAACACTAAGATCCAAAGGATACCTAATAGTGGGTTACATAGACCACATATTACTAATGGCAGAAACACCAGAGCAGCTATCGCAAGTAGTTGCTGACACGGTTGCCCTACTCAGGGCACTTGGCTTCACAATCCATGATACTAAATCTGTCACGACACCCTCTCAGATAGCCAAATTTTTGGGATTCATATTGAATTCTAAGAATATGACCATCTCCATGATCCCGGAGAAGGCTGATATTGTACGATCTAAGTGTCACAGCCTTGTGCAGATACAAGGTCCTGCTCAAATCCGAGAGGTGGCCTCAGTTGTGGGCTTGATGGTATCCTCATTTGCAGGAGTGTACTATGGGCCATTATTTTATAGATCTCTAGAGAATATCAAAACTGATGCACTGCAAGCAAATGGCTGGGATCTTGAGGGGAAAGTAACACTCTCACCCCTGTGCAAACAAGACTTCCTTTGGTGGATAAATAATGTTGACCAATATCCACAAACCATCACACCACAAATCCCACATCTAACCCTGACAACCGACAGCTCACTTACGGGCTGGGGGGCAGTGATAGAGGGTACCTCAAGTGTTGCTAGTGGTAGATGGTCATTCCAGGAATCCCAACTTCATATTAATTTCCTAGAGTTAAAAGCCATCCTTCTGGGACTGCAGTCACTCTGCAGTCACCTTACAAATTGTACCATCAAAGTGCTTTGTGACAATACAACTGCAGTCTCGTACATCCGCAGTATGGGTGGCTCTAAATCTAGGAACTGCAATGATATAACTAGGGAAATTCTCATCTGGTGCATGCAGAGGCAGCTGGCACTATCAATCTCTCACATACCAGGGAAATTAAATACAGAAGCTGATAGAGCTAGCAGAGAATCACACAACAGTAATACAGAATGGTCCCTAGACCCTACCATTTTTGATGAACTTAAACTTAAATGGGGCGATCCTGAAATAGACATGTTTGCATCAAGGCTGAACCACAAAGTGTCTCCATATGTAGCCTGGAAACCAGATCCAGGTGCAGCAGCTATTGATGCATTCACTCTGGATTGGTCCAGATATAAACTTATCTATTGTTTTCCTCCTTTCAGCCTCATAGGCAAAGTCCTTCAGTTTATTCAAGAAAGCAGAACAACAGTCATACTTGTGTACCCATACTGGCCAACCCAGGTGTGGTACCCACAGCTCCTACAGTTGATGAAATCTCCTCCAATATCGATCAAAATGCACCGCAAAACCATTATTCTCCCACATCAACCAGAACAAGTCCACCCATTATATCCCAAACTTCAACTTCATGGATGTCTCTTATCAGGGCATCCTTAGCTGCTCAAGGCATAACGGGGGAACCTCAGGACATCATCGTGGCGTCATGGCGAGATGGAACCCGCAAACAATACTGCACATATATTACAGCCTGGTTAAAGTACTGCTCTGATTGTAACATCAGCCAAGTCAATCCCAAGCTGCAGCAAGTCCTTGATTTCCTTACCCTGCAATCTAAACGTGTGGGATATAGTGCGGTTGCAACTGCCCGAAGTGCGCTGTCAAGTTTCATTAAAGTTGATGGTGTAAAAGTGGGTGACCACCCCTTGGTGTCAAGGTTTATGACTGGCCTGTTTAATCAAAAGCCAGCCCTTCTACGCTACTCTGAGACTTGGGACCCCCAAATAGTGCTTAACCACCTTAAGACATTTCCAGCCATTGATGATATGTCACTGAAACAGCTTACCCTGAAACTGGTCATGCTTATGGCCCTATTGTCTGCACAGAGAGTTCAGACTTTACAGTCCTTGTCCTTGGAAGAAATGAGTACCCTACCTGGAAAGTATGTCTTTCGCATCTCTTCTGTTCTAAAACAAACAACTGCCAAAGGGGGCCAGAACAGACATTTACTACCTGTTACTTTTCATAGTTACCCCCTGGACAAACGACTGTGTATCGTGGAGCTACTTTCAGCTTATGTTAAAAGAACCGCTCCTCTCAGGAAAGAGACAAAGCAGTTGCTTATTTGCCATGCTGAACCTCATGGACCAGCTTCAAGGGACACAATATCACGTTGGATAAAACAAACCATGAAGGATGCGGGAATTGATACTACGGTTTTCAAACCCCACAGCACTAGGGGTGCCTCTACTTCAGCAGCTAAAGCATTGAATGTTCCTGTTCAGGTTATAATGAACACTGCTGGATGGCGTTCTGATTCTACTTTTGCTAAATTCTATGATCGCCCTGTCCTCACTACAAACAACTTTGCTGCAGCAATTCTGGGAGATAAGAAATAATATATTGTAATCTCAAATTACTCCCTTCTTTGAGCCAGTGCATATTCAAATAATGCCTTAGATCGATACCAGTTGTTGTTGCAGTATTTACTACTATCATGTAAGAGGCCTATTACAAAATATTACATATTATGTTGTGTTCATTCACCACTTTTTGTTGTCTGAGTTTTCTGTGGCTTTGAGCTTTAAAGTCTCACGTGACCTCCGATTGTATGCAAATGCGAGGTAGAATTGTTAATTAAACGAGACTTACCTGTAAGTCGTGGTTTGATTGAGATTCTACCGTAGCATTTGCAGGAATGAGGAGGTCACATCCCGCCCTACCCCATCCCTATTGTTGGTGACCTCTCATTCCTGCTTTGTCAAAGCCCCACAAAACCGCTTTTAAGACTGAGCTCGGATATCGCATACTTGCTATCTCACGTGACCTCCTCATTCCTGCAAATGCTACGGTAGAATCTCAATCAAACCACGACTTACAGGTAAGTCTCGTTTAATTAACAATTTTATAATAATTTGAGCATAAGCTAACAACACGCAAATTCATCTCGGTGCTGGGTGTTTGTGAACTGACAGTGATGTAAAAAATAGTAAAATTCTTTACGGAATCTATTTAAGAACAATGCTTTGATTTTATATTGAATAATTTTTTATCATTTCCGCCAAGTAAGGAAGTAATAAAGCGCAAAGCCTACAAGTTTATGTTGCCAAAACTTCTTTTTTGGCGGCATTCTAGCGGCATGGCGGGTCGTAATCGAAACTCCTTACGGACGCACGATCTGTCACTTTGTAATTAGAGTTCATTCTCATAGCCCCATCCAGAGCCTTGATTCTTTCAAAGACTCAAATCAGTGTTTTTAATTTTACAGTAAAGTGGTTTACGCTTGTGCGATCTTCTTCATTTCGTGTAATCACAACACGTGACAATGAAAAGATGGCTACTCAACAGCGGCTTGCTTGCTTTGTACTTCAAAAACTTCGCAAGAAAAAAAATCCAATCTCGGTCTACAGTGGTCGAAATTTCTCGTTCAAGATCTCTTTTTGAAGCTCTAAAAACTCTCCGTTTTAAAAAATGCGTATCCAAGTCGAAGAAGTTTCGCGAAAGACTTAAATCCATAAACTTCCACCACAATATGTGCAATAATTCTCTGCAGTTTCATTGACACATTTAGAACAAAAGGATACGTTTAAACCTTCACGGCCCAGGACAGCTTAATTAAGCCATTGTTCCCTTCCTTTGAATTCGCTTCTGAGTCTTCCGCCATAAAATCTCACCTTATTCTAACCGAGACAAAACGAACACTCCCGAACGCAATGTCCGAAGGAATAAATTGAGCCTTCAGGGTAAAAAATCCAGCGGTTATGCCCATTTCTGAAATACACACTTAAATCGGCGTGAAGTTGTAATGGCTTACAAGAGGTTAAAAACATTGAGAAATAATTAAACTTTTAGGCCCAAAAAGTGGTCTTGGTCGCTTACAGGGGGTGGTCGTTTACGAGAGGTTCCAAGACGGGGAAAATGTTGGTGTCTTTGGATTGGTGGTCGCTTATGGGAGGTGGTTGCTTACGAGAGGTGATCGCACATGGAGGTTCGACTGTACTTTAAAAGTATGATCTATCAAATATTAAAATTTATCAAAAGAATAACTTAGTTCATCCGGAAATGATCCTAAGAACTTTAAATACAGGTTTATTACTATTTACATGTAACTCTTTAAAACAAAGGAAATTGATTTTTAACTCTTTTTAACCGTAACTGAAAAAATTAACCGATAGCCGTAAAAGAGCCAAAACTTAAGCCGATAATCGTAAAAGACACCACCCCATTGAGACCCTCTTATGTTGCATCTGTAAGATTTATCTCCTAGCCGTAAGATTTGTGAATGTTTAGTTTCTTTTAAGTTCCTTAGTATGTCTTGCATGGGTAGTTTTCAGTGAACATTTCATTACAAAAAGCTGTTATTATCAAACAAAAATATTTGCCGGGCTAGTTATTGTGTTCTTGTGACCTCTTTGTTGGTTTTTCAAGGGCAGTGAATTATTTGTTCTTTCACATACTTATTCTTCATTGCACAGTAGTAATAGTGTGCAAGATAAAAAATGATGATTTTATGATATTTTAAAGTTACCCGGAATTTAGTAGTTTCACAATCTGTCCACTAAAAAAACTATAATGCTCAATATTGGAGATAGCTCAATAAGGTGATTAGAGAAGGATACTGATGTACACCAACAAATCCAAACTTTAATAGTGAAAACAGAACATCTGGCCTTGAAACTGGGCGGCATAAAATAAATGCCATAGCAGATGATGAATTACACAACTTGATAATAAAATAAAGTAGAGAACCGATAATATTAGTCTAAAAATAACGTCAGTGCTTTCATCTGAGTTGTGACGCCATTTTCTTACCAAGTCACGAAATTTACAGGTCACGGAGGTGGAACTATATTCAATACAGTACAGATATTTGTTCTTGGGGCAAAAAATTAAACAAAA